AACAGGTGGAATTTACGCAGCTCATTTACACACTTTTCCTGAAGGTAGAAGAGTTTGTTGAATCTGACGTGACATGTTCGTACGAACCCTTTGTACGAACAAAAGTAAGAGAAATTTAGGATAAGAATGCGAACATGTTCTTGCATGAGGCCCAGTGTGTGTTCCGGTCTGAACATAGTGTGTCCAACTTGAGGCGTTTTGGCCACTCAAAACGCGTTCGGTGTGAACGTAGCATGACATCGTCGCCCTTTGACCACTTCTAATCCGGAAATGAACAAGCATTCAGCCGGTACCAGTGAAAGTGGTTCTCCATTTAAAAAAACATGACCTTGAGGATTTTCTCTTGACACCAGCTTTCATAACCTTACTGGTTTCTACACCAAGGCCAGGAGATTCCACTTTCCCTTACTTCCCTTCGGACAACTTCCATCTGCACAAACCAGTGCAACTGAAAAGGAGCATTTAATACAGAGACATCTTTCTGTTTGTGTGACTGCACACCAGCTGAACTTGGACCACAGTGTGTTGTCTCCTGGTGTGAGTTCGCTTGATGGATCAGTCCCTTATGCACTCATGAATGCAGTTTGGAAGCATGTTCAAAAAGGGGCTTGTTTTTAATTTGTGAAAAATGTGTTTTCAGTTGTGCTTTGTCTTGGGTGAAGACTAATGTCATACATTATTTCTCCATCGGTTCTGGTTCAGATAACAGCTCTGAAAAATAACTGAGAGCAAATGACTCTGTCGGACAAACAGCGGTTCAAGTGGAGTCACTTTGGAAAAGAGATTTAACAGAAGATCTTGTCCAGAAATAACAAAGCGCTGTGGAGTGGGCAACAGCCCGAAGCCTTCACAGCCAAAACTTTAGGAACCTTTAAAGGACATCTCACAACTCAGCACAGCTCATCCCTGAAAATTTCAGGTATATTACGCAGTGTTTTGTAAAAATAAAAAAAGCCTGTTTCTTTTTAAAAACCTGTGTGAAAATAACCCATCAAGACAAGTTACTATAATTAAAGAGATTGAATTAACTTAAAGGTTTTACACATTACCTTGGCTCTAGCCTCACAAAAAAAAGGTGGACCCATTTGGGCACTTTTGATAATAATAGATCCCACCCACAGCGTCCCACTAAATCAGGTTTTTGGAATTTTGAATATATAATAAATTATCGGTTATTTTTTTTATTTTTGTTTATAGAGAAAACTATGCTATAACATGCATACAGCTTAAACAGATAAAAAATATGTAGTTTTCCATTTTTATCTTTTTCATTTGGATGGCTGAGTGCGCAAGGATTTACCAGACTTGTTTTAATGACAATTACACAAAGTTTTTTTTTTCTTTTAAAACTACAAATTAGCTTCTCTGAAGATAACTT